ACCTCATCTTCGCCTCGTCGCGGTTGTGTGTGGTTCTTTGAGTTGGTCACTTTGGACATGGAGTTGCTGGCTTGCGATATCGTCTTGCGGACCATGGACTTGAGCCATGGCGGCGTGTAGTGTGAGATCATGGGCCGGAGGTGAGGAAGGCAGGCAGCGATGATGTATGTTCCTGTTTCGATGATACTCCAGCCGACAAGCCCAACGGATGCCCCTAGTTGGAGGGTTAGTATACCGGCACGTCATTGAGGACATTATTGATCATCACTTACATGTACGGTCCGAAAAGGCAGAGTTGCTGAAGAAAATGAAGGCTCTGATGATACTGGCAACGATGCCACTGTGAACATGTTAGTCTCGGGGCCACCTTCCTCTTCTGACCAAAACGGGACAACTCACAAACTGCCAATCATGAAGATGCCGATGAGGGCAATGCGCTTGTGCGTCGGCAGCTTCAGGTCCCAGATAGTCTTCAGCGGCAAAGTCATGATGAAAAAGTCCAGCACGAAGCCCGGAATGCTCTGTGCATGGAAAAAGGCCTGAACGTCGACACACTGTCCGCCGGGAATCGTCCGGTCCCACCAGAATTCGATGGGTTGGCACTGGAAGCACGCCGTGATGATGAAGGAGAAGCTCGTCGCGGCCAGCGTCGCGAGAAGCACGTAGGCGGTGGTGCGCATGGCCCCCTTCCAGTTGAAGACGCGCAGGTATAGGCACACGATGCCCATCTTGGGCAGCGCCACGGACGTGAAGTAGATGATCTCGAACGCGAGGATGCACTTCGCCCACCCGGTCAGGAGGGCTGGATGAAACTCCTCGACGAATTCAACGTGACGCCCAACACCGCCGACCTTAACCATGACTGATGATACAGAGTTAGTCGAGAGTTCGGACCTCGAAAACCACGCCATTTCCACGCTGGGCAGAAAACCTACCGATGCCGACGGCGCACATCCCTAGGTCCACCACGTAGGCGGCCGCCAGGAAATAGTCGTCCAAGCCATACCCGCCAGCAGTAAACCGTTTTGCGTATAGTCGCAGGCCGAGAAAAAAGGTCGTCAAGATGGCAAAGGCGATGGAGATGCCTGTAAGTGTGCCGCCAGAATCTTCCGCCAGATATTCAGCCGTCACGTTGTGTGTTGTTTCGCCTTCGGCGGCCAAGACGAGGCCGGACATTGTGAGTCGTCGAGGGCAAGCTGAGCCGATCCACGGCCAAGACACAACAGGATCATGAATCCCTTCTCTCGCCCGCTGTGAGAAGGAAACGAACCCAGAGGCCAAAATAATACTATTATCGCAAAACCTGCCGCAGCCCTATCTTGGCGGTTTGCGGGACCCCTCTTTCTTTAACAAATCCCGACTTGGCACGTCCCCAGATGCCCCATTGTGTGATGGCGAAAGGGGGGGTCCGGAGGGAGGCAGAAAAGAATAATCTGATAATAGCCGGGGGGTTGAACATTAAGATCTCCAGCGGCATGATCAGGCCATGGCCAAGAATCAAATGCTAGCTGCCGTGAGTGGTCGGGAACGAGCATAACAGGGCTATATTTGCGCCTCCTTTTTGCCATTTGCGTAACTTCTGTGGTAATGGTTTCCACCATGCCGCATCCTAAACATGCGGAGAACGTTCTCTCGGGGCTCACACTTGCCGGTGCGTCCCATTGTCGGACTCTAAAGTTGGCTAAAGTTGGCTAAAGTTGGCTTGGTTGATTAGCACGAGGGGGACCTGGACCAGTGAGACGATGAGATGGTGGTAAGACAGCCCCTTCAAGCGTCCATCAAGCCCCCCTCAACGGCGTTGAACAGCCACACGAAGGACACGAAGGGGCCTCTTAGTTCAGCTTGGATGAAACATCGCGTTCTAGAATGATCGTGGAAAGAGAGTTTGAGATGGACATGGGGTAGCCTTGTCGTCATGCTGTGGTCCTCTGGGAGATCGGGCACTGGCTTCCCTTCCCATTCGTCGCAGCAGGGTACGACTCGCGACAATTGTAATCTTGAGCTTCTCCACCATCCTGGAAGCCGTCCAGTCCTAGGCCCGAATCGGACCCGTGCCACAGCTTGCTGGCCACATATTCCTGGCGTTGCCTTGGATGCTTCGACGAATGCTTCCTTGGAATCCCTTTCCTCTCCGCCGACAACGACGGGGGTAGGAAAGGCGAGTTTCTGATTCACGCTGATGAGACGTTGGAGTATGACGGAGGCGGCACAGCATCACAAGCCAATTTCTGCCTTTCATTGGTCTAGACCCCGCTTGGTCGATGGGACTTTAAAGGTTACCGCAGCCATCTGATCATCTCGTTGAAGAGAAACTGGTCATGTCCTGGAAATAGGCAAACACACCAAGCCTTGGGTATTTCCTCTCCCCCCTTGTTGCCCTCATTCTTCAGCGAATTCTGCCCGAGCGCGGAAGTTTATTTGCCTCCTCCTCCTCCTCCTTCGTTCTCGCTGCGCGGCCGAGGTGGGAGACGGCAAATAGTGGTAACTCCCGGTTGCGTTCGTTGGTGAACGGTAAAAGGCGACGGCACAGATGACTCGTCTCACTCTCGCCCACGCGTGAACGCTCCCGTCAGCCTGCCTTTCAGCGCCGTGCCGCAGCGAACAACTGACCCATGCGCTTGTCTGGCGTCATGGGGTTCCTTGGTGGACACGAAGTCGATTTTGCAGGATTCATGCTCGACCTGTCGTTGCCAAAAGGCAGGGAAAAGCTGAGGAAAATGAGCTCCAGCATACGGGCTATTGTTCAGGGCCCCACGGCGATCCGTCGGCTTATGGGTACGACGAGTGGATATTGCCTCCATCGCGGCCGATCCCCGATCTTGCTTCGCCTCGGTCCTATTTCCTATTTATGCCAGCTGCGACCCGGTTGGAGATGGGTAGTCATCATGCTGCCGACGCGTCAACCCTCGAGGTATTTCAAATGCGCTGTGTGTTGCTGCAGGTGAGATATCCAGGAGATGAATCACCTATTTGACGCCGCTATCATGTTCGTCCTGTGGTCCCTAGTCTCCCAGTCCCCTACCCATTCACGTGCCATTCAGAAAGGGCTCATGGTGCTGGAGAGGCACAGAGGCTGGCACGCTGGCTCGCATATCTTCCTGCCCCATTCGAATTGCTCCTCGACGATCGTGATCGACGACGGGATTCTGGAGACGACTCCGTTATTTCGAAGGCGGAGTGACTGCTCAATTCGGCTCAACCTCGATTTTCGTGCGTCGAGATCAGAATCCAGCGTATTGGTAAAGGCTGCAACGCGTATGCAGTGATTCTAGCGCTAACTGCTGAGCCTCGGTCGTGAAGATCACAAATGTAACGGTACGGTCCTGGTGGGCGTTTCAGATCCTCATGGAGATGCATCCCTAATTCTCTCAAATATCCGACCAGGTCTTCCCGCACCACGATCTCGACAGCCTGGTCACTCGGACTACTGCAGCCAAAGGATCATTGGCATGAGTGGTATCGAGCAAAAGTCCCTTCCAACGGAGAAATTTCCCATCAGCTCATGAAGACGGCACGATCGCGTTGAAAGGCAGCCAGCCTATTGCTGAGCATCTAGTAGTGCCCGTGCTGTAGACTGGGATTCGTTCCATGTCCATGACTAGAACGGCGTGCCGGCGGGAGGAGAACTCTCCACGACGTTTGCGCCGTGCGGTCGGAAGGCAACTGATTCAGTCAAATGTACTCCGTACGGAGTATCCATCTCCTCTCTCCCACTCGGGTTTCCAGACGTCGATCCCCTGCGCACAGTAGAAGGTGGACTGGCGATATGCGGTGCTAGAAACGCGTCCATGCCTGGCAGCACGGCAACTGCCCTTTGCGACTGTGGTGATACTGCACACCTAATGCTCGGGGTGTGACACAATGCAGGCTCGAACTCAAGCCGTCGATTCCAAACTTGCTCTTAGTGATGCGTGATGCATCAGTAGTCGTTGCTTGCCGTTGATAGTGCTGAATAGAGATGCCTTGACGCCTGGCGGGGGCAGGGTGCAGAGACTCCCCCCACGAGAGATGACAGGAGGGGTTACCATGCCGGCGAAGAGATGTTCCATCTGGCTGTCGTCTTCAGGGATGGCCTTGATAGCTTCGGAGTGACCGTGTCCCAAATGGCAAGGCGTCTGACCGGATGCTCGCAGAAAACGACCAGTGTAGGAGAGGCCATCCGCATCTCCAGGTTTACGACTGCAGTGGACGGCGACCACAAGACGAGGTGCCCTTGAGCAACGTATGCAACGGAGCTTTTCGCTTTGAGCCGACGAACGCAGAAACTTGTGACTCTTTCGAAGGATTGGTCATGTAAAAACGGTGAAGTCGATATCCAGGATCGAGGGAGCTCCTCTGGCCCACGCTTATGTCGACATCGAGTCACTAGGATAGGCTGCATCCTCCCCAAAAGTTGCAGTTAAATCGTGGACAACATACTTTGGGATCGCGCCGGCACCTTTCCACAAGCCACAGGCTGGTCGCATTCCGTGATGGATGAGAAAATGGAGGAGCATCGAGATCGAGATGTTTTCTGTGCGCGTAGAGGCATGAGAGAGACATTAGAGCATGCCGGTCTGCCCAATTGTCCATCACAGCTTTGCTCTCCTCCGCAGCGGCGCCTTCGAAGGCTGCAGAGCTGCTGATTCGGATGTAGTATCGCGTCTCAGTCCATCGTTGATGCAAGCTGCAGAGGTATCCTTCATGCGAGTAGATGAGAACTTGACCGGAGGAAATTGACGAAGCGGAATCACTTGTTGCCTTTGTATTCGGAAGAACATGGTGAACAATGATGCTGGCTGTAGGGGTGGATGGGAGATTGATGCCTCAATTGACCGCAGAAATGGAAGTGGTGGCCTGGAGGTTTTGGGAAGTCGCTGTCCGATTTCCCGAGGTACGTTATCGACATTATTTTGCGTTATCCTTAACTATCGTTATCCTTATCGATTAGATAATCCTAGACATATCCTCGGGAAAGGTGCAAGTTCACCGCGGAAAACGACTATTAACACGACGAACCCCTCCAGATAAGCATGAATAACAACAACAGCCACGGCAAAGTCGGAATTTCACTCGTCTTACTTTGCCTCGGTTCCGTCAGAGAGACAAGTCAAACACCAGAAACATGGCGTCCGAGGCTGACAGCGGCTCCTTGCCCTCGGAACGCCCCTACCGCTCCCACCTTCGCCCAGCTTGCCTGGCCTGCCGGAAGCGCAAGTCACGGTGTAACGTCGACAAGAATGGAGGAACCTGTCTGACTTGCCGAGCTCACGGAACACAATGCGAGTTCCCGCCGGCTCCCGGTGGAGCCTCGCCGCGGCCGAAGTCTGCTTGGAGAAGCGCGCAAACCAGCAGGTCAAAGGACCTGGGCCACCGCCCGTCCCCGTCGCAACAGCCTCCGGCTCAGACGTTCTCCTCGGAGCTGCAGTACAACGACCAGACGAACCAGCTGCCGTTGGCCGAGGCAGGCCGGCGTGTTTCAAAATCCTCTGATGGCCATCCTCCCATATTCTCTCCCCAGGAAAAACGGTACCCGGAACCCATCGGCGATGGGGGAGAGGATGAGGCTCATATTGTGGGACCAGCTGACATTGAGGACACCCAAGTTTTGTCAACTTACCTATCTAATGACTCTTCTGTTTTGAATCGAAGTAGGATCTCGGTGACGAGCCCGCGGCAGGAGCATAGAGGTGGCACACGGAAACCGGTTGTCTTTACCACCGTGAGGAAGCAGCCCATTGGTCTTCCTGACGACCGTAACCCAGCATTCTTGAAGTGCCAGATGATTGAGAAGCTGCTCGAGCCCATGCTTCCCGATGTTGTTGAGCTGTAAGACAAGCCCAAGATCCCGTGTTGCGTATCGTGACCTAACTTGTGCCCGTAGGTTCTTTGAAAAGCCTAATCGATGTTTCCCCTTGTTGGATAGACAGTCCTTTGAGAAACGGTTCGTCGAAGACAGGAGGCACATCTCCCCCGCCTTATTGTCCTCGCTCTACGCGCATACGATGACCTACTGGGCACAATCCCCCAACCTCGTCACCCAACACCGCCCCGACACAAGGTTCATCTGGAACCAGGCCAATGATGCTCTGTATTCTGAGATCCACCTGTCGCCAGGCATCTCGACCTTGCTCGCCATCCTGCTGAACATCTCCGGCCGGCCATTGACTTCGATCATCGGAAACGGCCTTCAACTTGGCTCCGCTATTTCTCTCGCTCACTCGCTCGGCCTGAACCGAGACTCTTCTGATTGGGATATCCCAGAGGCCGAAAAACTATTGAGAACAAAGATATGGTGGGCCATCTTTGTGTATGACAAGTGGTATGTGCAGACACAACAAGTGAGCGCAATGCTCTTGGACTAATGAATGACCCAGGTCGAGTCTGGCGTATGGCACGCCTCCGCAGCTAAGGAGCGGCCAGCACGACGTTTCCCTTCCCACAGTAGAGCAGCTCTGCGGCTCGGTACCGAACCCAGTTGACTACGAGGCAACGTCTGTGTACTTGGCATTTGTCGCCCTGGCCCGCTTCCTCGACAGATACCTAGAGCGGATCTACGATCTCGAAAAGACCTCAACCACCGGTCCATGGGATCTGGAAGTCCTACTGACGCAGTGGGAGGACTCACTTGACAACAACATACGGCGAAGGATCATCCGCGGAGGCGAGAGTCTCGACATACCAGGCTCAGCGAACCTACGTCTTGCGTATCTCTACATCAGACTGTTGCTTCGCAAGTGGGAGTTGGACGCCGAGAAAGCAGCCAGCGCCGACCACACGTCCTCGATTCCCATGCGCTGCTATCTTGAAGTTCGACGCGCTGCCGAGGAGATTGTCCTTCTGGTTCAAGAGCTCAAGGACCCCCAGCTTGGCGACTACTGGCTCCCCCTTCTCACCTTCGCATTCACGTCCACCACCAAGTTCCTTCTTCGCTGCGCTCTGGAGACGGAGAATACCGTCAGCGGTCTGGCGCAGAGTATGTCGCTGAAGCTAGCACGCGACCTCATCAATGCGCTTCAGGTCCATCGCCAAAAGGCCTGGGACGTGGGAGACTTGTGTATCGCACAGTATTCCGAGGTCATTGAGAAGCTTGCCACGTCCAGCTCGAGCGCCGAATTTTCCGAGCAGCCCGTGGACATGCCCGAGCTTCAGGAGTACGTGTCGACGAGCGTGCCCGATATTGATGAGCTTTTTCCTAGTCTATGGGACATGTTCGGCACTACGTGAGGTGATGTTCAACAGATGCTTGGTGTGCTGCCGGTTCCCGGCCGGGTTTAAGACGGACGGACTGCTCCGACGGACTACTCCGTCTACAACTTCACACCATCAACACCTTAATACTGGCAAGAGGCCCAATCCCATTTGACGTGAACATCAGTATATCAACTTCAGCATTGGCAGAATCGACCTGGTATTTTGAATGATGAACGCCGTTAGCAGGCCCCACAGAATCAAGCTTCCGCCACGGATTGCAACTCAATTACCCCGCATCGTCGACATCCGTTCTCGTAGACTGTGTCCCGTTATCTCACACAGGAACTCATCGAGAAACGCGCATACAATGGGGCCGAAAAGAGTCGCTGTGCTCTACCAAGCCATAGATCCTCCTGCCATCAATGGTGTACGCAAGCCGATGAAGCCTGGTGGTAAGTACATGTACTTTAGCCATCCATGTAACAACCTCTGCTCTGGCACCGGCTAACAGATTCAAGGATACCGCGACTCAGGAGCCGACATCGCCTTCAATCTCCAAGCCAGCAAGTCTGTCGACGCAATCACTCCAATTGCGGCACCATCGCCAGATAAAGATACCCAGTGGTGCCTTCCGGATACCGAGGAAGGGATCCTGGACGCCGTCAACAAGGGAGCAACCCATCTCTGGGCCAATACAATCTTATTCGCATCTCATCCAATACAGACTTCCGGGTCCCTCGAAAGCGTCCAAGATACACTCAAAGTTATCGGGCATGGGCCTCTTGTAGTTGAAAAGTACGATGACAAGGAGTATGTAAATGACTTACTACGCAGCATCGGCGGCTTTACGATGCTTCGCTCCTGGACAATCCACTCCGGCCCGGCAGCGGAAAACAAGCTTGAGCAGCTCAACCTGCCATTTCCGATCGTCGCAAAGCCCATCCGCGGACGGGGAAGTCACGGCGTTCGAGTTTGCCAAAATCTAGAGGAACTCGCCGCTCACACCAAAGTCCTCTTCCAAGAATCGCCGAGCATCATGTTGGAAGAGTACCTCTCTGGCGAAGAAGCCACAATCACAGTGATGCCTCCGAATGGAGAGAAGAAGGATTACTGGTCCTTGCCCATCGTCACCCGCTTCAATCACCAAGTTGGAATTGCGCCTTACAACGGCGTGGTAGCGGTCACTACCAACTCGAGGGTGATAACAAAGAAGGAGGAGGAGGATCCTGCGTATGGACGGATTACGAGGGAGTGCGAGGCAGCAGCGAGGGTATTAGGTGTCGCGGCTCCCATTCGCATCGACGTCCGACGTTTTCCTGGAATTTCTGGGTCCAATTTTGCTTTATTTGACGTAAACATGAAGCCAGTAAGCCCACCTCTCGAGAGCTTCGATGCTATTGACAATCTCCTAACGAAACAATTTTGTAGAACATGACCGGTCCTGGACGGCCTGGGCGAGATGACCAGGCGAGTCTCACGCTTCTGGCAGCTGAAAAGCTGGGCTGGGACTACCCAGAGCTGTTGAGGCAGGTGCTGAACACATCGTCGACTTTGAAGGCGCTGAGGGAGTTGAAGCCTAGGGATAAATAAAATGACGGGGACTACTGACATTGCGTCAAATGGATGACGTATCAAATAGCTAGACGATCATCAAATACAAATGGACAAAGAAAACACCAAAAGAATCTGTCGCAGCGCCACACGTGGCGCTGCCGGTTACTGCCGTACGATACCGCTTTCCACAAGCCGATTACCCGTCTTGTACGGTATATAGATAGGACCCTCATACGGGTCTTCCACTTAGAGGAATCAAGCCACTTTCTACCATACAAGTCTTCCACTTGCTACCTCGCTTTGTGATAGAATCATCGTGACTGCCCTCACTAGCTTCATTTTCAAGGGCCTTGTAGGCGGTGTGGGTGGGACAGGTCAGTGAGGTACATGGTACAGACATCACAAGGTCACACAAAGTCACAAAGAGAAGGAGCAAGATGATTGTTTGCAATGCCAGTGTATTCTTTGTCACACCGGATAAGCAGCCTTTGCTGCTGATACTAACAAGCAGCATGTAACTGCCAACGACGAACGAAAACCTGATACTCGTCGAAGCTTAACCACAAGGAAGAGTGAATGACCCATTGACCTGAATCCTCCTTGACGCCTGTTCCCAAACCCAAACCTTTCCGAATCCGAAGCGTCCTATGAATGGAATGAATCCCCCACCAGTATGCCCAAAATCCACCGATCTAGTTCCGTTCCCAAGCCTCCTAAGATGATGAGATCACATGAGTGTAAAGTGTCATGAAACCTAGACACCGACGGTAACGACGACAGTCTGAGTCTCAGTCTCGACGGGTTCAGCGTGCCAAACACGAGTGATGACGGGGAGACCAATCTCGACGTCCTCAGTGGACGAGGTAGCAGAAGGAGCGACCTTCTCAGGGTCCTTGCTCAAGGTGGTGAGGAAGAAGCTGGGCTCCGAGCTAGTAGCGTTGGCGAAGGGAGTGTAGACGGGAGCGCTCAAGGGCATAACCGGATCCTCGCTCAGGGTGGTGAGGAAGAAGGTAGGTTCAGTGGGGGTAGGACCGGAGAAGGGAGTGTAGACGAAGGTGCCGGTGGGATCAGGGTGCTCGTAGTCCACAGAGACGGTGCAGAGGTGAGGTTTGGAGCCATCGCTGCGAGTCGCAGTAGCGCACCAGCTGGAGATGCGCTCATTCATGCCCTGGGTAGTGGTCTGCTCGACAGGAGCAGAGGTGGCGATCTCCATGGAGAGAGCGGAGGTGATGTGAGTAGCGGTGACAATGGGAGCGTTGACCTGCTCAAGAGTGGTCTTGGTGCCAATGTCCATGCTCACAGTGCTCTTGATGCCAGCGCACATCTCCATGATGCCAGTGAGGCCAAGGCTAGCCTCATTGACCGAGAAAGTGGTGCACTTGCTCATGGTAGTGACGATGGGCTGCTTGTGACCATCGGTGGCAGTCTTGGTGCAGGAAGTGCTGGTAGTCTGGTGAACGACCGGGCCCTTGGAGCCGAAGCTCACGATGGGCTGAGAGACGCCGAAGCCACCATCCTGGCGGATTTTGTGCTTGAAGCCAGCAACTCCAGCCTGAGCGGGAATCTGAGCGTTCAAGACACCGGCAGAGGCCTGGTTGTCGAGGACGGGCATACCGTTGACGGCAGCGCCAATGATGGCACCGACGGCGGTGATGGCAATGTAAGACTGAAAAGGAAAATATTGTGAGCTTCCAGATCAACGTGTTTGACTTTTGGGATTTGCGGCACGGGAAGAAGCAGAGAAAATTCACAAACGTACCTTCATCTTGACTGTGATGAGTGAAGAATTGGAATTCTTGATTGGTGATGTATTGTTTGTTGGAACTGATGAATTGTTTTATTATTTGCTTGTTATTGCGATTGTGACAGTTATTTGTGAGTGAATAAAGTGTGTGATGTGTGTGTGTGGAAAAGAGAAGAAAGTGGGAGTGTGAGGGTGGGTGAGAAAGGAATCAGAAGGCTTGAATGGAGGAGGTGGGCGGTCGAAAGGCAGCAGGCAGGCAGGGCAAGAGATTTTCCATGGTTAGGGCTAGCTGTTGCGATCCTATCTATTCAGGCAGGAAGCTCGAATGAAGAACAAGGCAGCAGCGGTCTGAACAAAGTGAGGCTGAGTGGTGAGATGGAATACGCATCTTGTGATTGAGGAGGTGAGGTTATTCAGGGGCACACGTGACTGGGTGAAATATCAGAAGTGAGGCAGACAACCACCTCTGAATGACCTCACAAAGAGCGCTAGCCTTGCACTTGGATTAGTCACTAAATTAATAGGCACTTCTGGTTGGTCTATTATTCAAGATATCACGTGCTCTCCTGAGCTGGAGGATGCCCATCTACCTTATGTGAAGCCTCACTGCCAACCCTCCACCTGCCCCAACTTGATCTCTCGCTTATCTGGCATTTGTGGATCTTTCCTGACGTGTCTGGGGACTGTTGGGGAATGTTCATTTTCTTTATCCAGAGGCAGGTGCTGTTGCCTTTGTGGTTGTCTCTGCCAGTCCGACTGGAGCCCGAGCTGGACTGGGCAGAGCTGCCTCAAGAGGTCGATCAGGTAGGAAGGTGAGCGAAAATGAGTTATCACGAAGTAGTTATGTACTTAGTCAATTGATCTAGTAAATTGAACCATCTCCAGTCCTTCTGGCTTTAATCTCACTAGCCAACGCGTGATTGATGTCTACACGTAGTTGAGCGAATGGTGGTCGGAGGTTGAACGTCTTCCCGAGCCATATGAACGTAGTTGCTGGGCAACACGAATAGCCATCCTGACTAAACATCACAGACATGGTTTACAGCCGTCGGAATAATATCAACTTCAACTGTGTGTTCTTTGCTCTTGGTTGAGACGTAGGAATAAGATTATCCGGATCTCCCAAAATTGTTCCGAGCCCGTGGCCTTCGGCCCGAGGTCGATGCCGTCGACAACCTCACAATTTTGAAGGCCTGGGATGACCTTGGTTGCAATCATATACGTTTGACTTCGATCCTGCTTTTGGGATAGGAAGGAGAAGCATCGGCGAATTCAGGCTGCCCTTACCCAATCTTTGATGTTCATGTATATAGCACCATCGGCAGTCTTCAGGTGTGGTAGCGTTGCCGAACAAGCGGTTGCCGTGCGTTCCGATGCGGAAGTAGTAAAGATCCTCTCTTGTTAATGATATGACAAACTCCCACGTGCCCGCTGCTGTTTGCAAACGATGCTTGGAGCCGGCTTGGCCAATAGCTCATGAAGCCAGCCTCACGTGGCGAGGTTACAATGCCTCAAATCCGGGAAGCCGGCTAAACATACAGACAGCATCGATCCAATCGTCAAGGAACAATCCTGCCGAAGATCATCTTGGCGTGCATCAAGCCATTGCGGAGACGGGTAGACCTAAGACAACCGATTGCCGACTGAATCTTGGCTGACAGAGCCGCACCTCACGATAGTGTTATACTCCGCCGGCGAAGAAGCCGCAATTATGCCAGGACCATATCAGTTATTGCCTTTTCGGTTCAGCGCAATTGCTCGTATCGTGAACATGTCCGCTTGCCCTTATCTCGTTCTCCTGCTCTCGGCCGATCAGAGATTTCCTCCTCGGCCATCAATTCCTCCCTCGAAATCGCCGTCGGAGATCGAGTCAACAGCTCGGCTGGGCAAAATTGGCACGCCAACCCAAGCACAGGCCGTTGAAACGGTCCATCGTCGTCAGCAGAGTCATGTAACATAGTCTTCCTCCGGCACTCTTTGCTCGGCCCTTTTTCGTCCCAAAAGAGACCTCATACACTCTCTGCTACTCTGCGAATCTTCACCAAACAGCCCAAATTTCGAACCACCCGACTATCTACGGATAGTACCTACCGCATTGTCGGGCCCGCACACGCCCAATCTCTCGCTGCCTTGCATCCCATGTGGATGCCCATCAACATCCGTAGTTGCGATGGCGTGGCCCAGGCTACATCTATCGTGTGTCAAGTTGAACAGAGTTTGCTCTAGTCAGGGGGACTTGGGATGAACGAAACAAAATCTTTTGCAGCCAAGACTATGCGCCAGTAGGCCATACCTACGAAGTGCCTACCTCACCCACTTCTAGAAAACCACCAGCCCAATGCCGTACGGTGCTGTACGGGCGAAGGGTGGCTGTCGTCAATAAGCTTGTTTGTGGGGTTTAGAGTTACATCATCTCCGCAATCATCCAAGATCGGCCCTACCAGCCCCTACAGACGATCGCCGTTCTTGTCCTAGTCTTCTTTGGCGTTCTCTGGCGTCTCCGCACCGTCATCAACCTCTGACTCTCTCGTACGGCTCTATTCTAGGAGCACCGGAGTTAAAGAACACCAAAAGGGTTCTCGAAGCAAAAGTAGCGCAACCCAGAGCCCTGGTTGACAGGTCTCCAGACTCCAGAGCCAAGAGGCAGAAGGGAAAACTTCCGGTAATTGTCCACAGTGCATACACAGTCGTAGTGCTGCATCGTGAACCAGAGAAACGACTCGCGGAGATCCACCGAGGCCACGACGTCCGAAGCCGGACTTCATCCCGTTGGTGTTTGGGCTTGCAAGTCAGGAATAGTCGCCAGGGATGCGCCCATCTCTGCGGGGGAATGGTCCCATAGTGCCAAGCCAAAGAGCAGACATTTTTGGCTTCATCAAATTTCATTGCCTTCTCTACTGCCCAGTAACCACGACTCGCTCGGCTCTACTATTATCTCGGCTGCCCGCATAGTCCGCTGCCCGTACGAATACCAGCTACCATCCGCCCGGTGTCAGCCCAACTACCGGCCGGCGCTACTTATTACCAGTAACGGTTCCACGGGCAGCTCCGACAGAGACCATGGCCCCTAACTAACGTGTGATCGAAAACGTCATAGCTTCAAGGTCCCTGTTCCAGTAGAGTGGGATAGTATGAACTAATAGACGCCAAGCCTGATGGCTTGTCGCGGACGAACCGATGCAAGATGGGCACAGAGTAGCAGTTACCATAAAAAGGCTTCCCGTCCCGCTGCCGCCGCCGAAGCTTCCTCTACCGTTGCGGCTTCACTCACTTCTTTAATGATATAAGTCTTAGCGGCGGCAACTCCCTCCTCCTGTCCCCAGCAAGTCGCTCTCTGGTTCCAAGTCGCAAGCATGTCTCTCATCAACGTCGACCTCCACGCCCTGTCAACAGGAGGCGCAGGCTACCTCGCTTCCATCAACGCCGGCGCCAAATTGGCCACACCGGCAATCTCGCTCCTGGCATACCAACCCGCCTTTGCAGACGTTCTCGGCCCCAACGCCACAGCCCGCAAGATCGTAGAAGTAGACTGGGAGGCGTTCCACGAGGGTGGCATCTACAACAAGAAGGACAACTCCCTGTACATCTCTTCCAACTACAACCCCACAGACAACATCAACATCACCGTCCTCAACCTGAACGACTTCTCCGTCAGAAGCACCCAGTTCGACGGCCTCACCGAAGCCAACGGCGGAAGCTCATACTACCCGCCCGGCGCAGACCAGGCCGCCACGCCGCCCATGCAGGTCTGGTGCGACCAGGGCGACCTGACGAGAAACTCCCAGCTCCTCGCTGTCGACCCCAACACCAACAAGTCGGAGCCTCTCATCATCGGCTTCAACGGCCGCAACTTCACCTCGCTCAACGATGTCCGTCAGCACCCCGTCACAGGAGACCTCTGGTTCACCGACCCCCAGTACGGCTTCTTCCAGAAATTCAGGCCTGAATCCGTGCTTCCCACACACGTCTACCGCTTCGAGCCATCAACTGGCAAAGTCCAAGTCGTGGCGGACGGCTTCCAGCAGCCCAACGGCGTCGAGTTCTCACCTGACGGCAAGACGCTGTACGTCTCCGACACGGGCGCCATCACCACCGCACCCAACCTATCCGGCCCGGCCACCATCTACGCCTTTGACATTATCGGCAACAAGAAGCTCGCCAACAAGCGCGTATTCGCGTACGCGGACAATGGCTTCCCTGACGGCGTTCACGCTGATACCGGCGGTAACGTCTGGGGCGGCTGCGGCGACGGAATCCATGTCTGGAACCCCGAGGGTGTTTTGCTTGGAAAGATTCACTTGGGCGAGACGTCGAACAATTTTGCGTTCGCACCGGGCAAGGTCTTTGTTTTCTCGAACCAGCGTCTGTGGGTTGTTGAGAACCTCAAGGCGCTTGGGAGAGAGGTTTGCAAGGATTTCGGAGCGGATTCGGATCCCAGATGCGCCAAGTAGAGCGTCGGGTACCATAGAGCACTGTGTTTTAAAAGTTTTGATACCATATTCCCAATTTAAATTTCAATTAGACCTAGAAACAAGCATTTTCATTTGATAAGTGACGAGTACGTGGCATGGACTTGACTTGACTCCTGATGTGGTGGACACCAAAGCTTGTATGAGATACAAGATTTACTGTTGCGTCACCATTCACAGAATCTGTTTCTTTGCTTGGAACGAGGCTTCTGTTCTCAAATTGCATTGTCTTGAATCTGCTTTTCCAAAATTCTATTACAAAAGACTCGTTGCTGCGAGTTCCAGTACCTAACCAGCCTGCACCAATCCTGGCAATCCAAGAAACGTTCCCTATCCCAATCCATCCATACCACAAGTCCCAGCCCAAAACTTCAGGGCCCACTGACAGTTCGAGAACCTTTTCGATCGAAGGGAATATGGCTTCCTTGTTATTGTGGTCTGGTAGTAAAAGGCTTTCCTCCTGAACCCCCACCCCCCATGCACCGGAAGGATTCATGGTCCTTCGTTTCTGTGTGGAGGACTGAGGGTTGGGGGGGGGGGCTTATATGTAAGCCCGAGTCCAGAAGCTTCAAGACCCATCGACTGTCCGCCGCCGACACCCGACTCCACGACAGGGGAATTCCGGAGCCCCTTGGTGACCTTGACCACCGAGGGGTGTAAGCCCGAGTCCAGAACCTCTAATACCCATTGGCTGTCCGTTGCCAATACCAGACTTGACAACGGGGGTGGCTCCGGAATTGAAGGGATCCATGCTTGCTGCGAGGGTACTCATATCGCGATCAGCTTGCTTTGAGCTGGCGGGTGTGCCATCGTGGCCTTCTGTAAAGCAATGGCCGCCTCGTCGGATATCTTCAGTTGGTTCTTGTCCTTCGCGGGTTCGTCGCCATGCTTGCTGCGAGGGGACGGTGGAGAGGCGTCTGCCCGAGTCCAGAAGCTTCAAAACCCATTGAATATCCTTCACCAAGACCAGACTCGACAAAGGGAGGCGGCTCCGGAATTGGAGCCCCTTGATGACCTTGAGCACCGGGGAAGTCCATGATTGCTGACGTGTATACCAACAGATTGCGATTGGGGAAATGAAGTTTTCGAGGTAAGAAGGTAGATGGACAGCAGAGGAATGGTAAATAATCTACCTTCTTACCTCGAAAACTCCAATTCTTTCATCGAGATATGCGGGAGACAAGGAGACCCTTGCAATGAAAGAGAATGTCGTATCCCCATGTGCCATTCATCAGACCGACGTGATGATGAGATTGAGCCGAGAGACCCCGAGTGTAATACAAGGCTGCGACCCTCGGTATGTCGAAGGGTCTGAGAATTGCCCCTCGAGTCTTTCACTGGAGAGGTTGGGAGGCGGAAAGGAGAATCGCCCCAAGGCCAGGCCAGGCCTAGAGGTGGAAATTGGCTGGTGGACTCAGCCCAGGCACGTGGGCTCCAGTCGGCCTGTGAATAACCTGACAACCGGCAGGTACGAACAGTTGGAACACAAAGGTTCCACCAAGTGGATAAGATGCCCGACACCGACGACCAGCATGGGAAGATGCGGTTGATGTGTGCCAGAGCTATTGCAACAGTACAAGGCTAAAGCCATTGTTCTTCGTTTGAACTTTGAACAAGTCTGTGTAGCATTTGTGTGTTCGAACAACAAGACTAATGCGATCTCCGACAATGCTTTGGACCTTGTGGCTGTTGTTGGCCAGTCGGAGAGGCTTCTCGACATTAATTAGTATCGCAGACATTGAGAGGAGATGTTGGAGTTCAGTGATGGATGCCTACGGGATAATGCTGGGCTGGGGCTGGTAGCCGTGCTCGAAGCTGCTGAGAACCATGAACCTGCTGGCCGTGATGGCCTAATCATCTTGGGCGTTCATGGTGTTGCTGCAGAGATCCCAAGATCATCCAAGAGGATGACCTTGGAAGCAAATGTGTTTGAGGTTGGGCGGAACAACGCAAGCTTGCGCTTGGAAAATGTAAGTGGTGATTGGAGCAGACTCGAACATCCTTTTCGTAATTTTCGATTTTCAAGCCATCCATGTTCGACCCCGAAACCCCGTCAGTAGGACCTGAGTGAGGATAGGTCCACAACTGAGACTCCGAGGTGGTTATGTGATAGTCCCAGGAATCCAGAAAGAGAAATACCCTCGAGGTCTCAGTCGCGGTCTAACCTCACCCAAATCCTTCGGACGAATGGTTGTATTGGAAGAGGATGTCTTTCTGTAACCTCATTAGTGATAGTTACAGACGAGGCGCATTGGGTAAAAACGAACTAGTCTGAAAGCTTGGGGTAGGAAATACCTTAGGGTGTTTGAAACGTTCTCTTTGCCGAGATCTGAAAAGCCTTCTCCCCCGTCCCCCACATGTGATGGGAGCGAGCTGGTTTGAGCAGTGGGGAGCAGGAGGAGAAGGTTGAATATTCGAGCTTCTGTGTCCTTGAGATGAGGACAGCATCTTCGGGGGCGAGCACGCAGACGGGAATGGAGGAGACATCGTACCAGTCTTCACTGTTTGTGCTCAATAACGGTCCGATGTCCCCTGATATTCCATGCTCACCCCCAAGCTTCTCTCTGAATTGGCGCTTGTGGCGAGAAGACGTAATTGTGGCCAAAAGTGCCATTTGAAGCAGCATTCAATATCAGAATACGGATCGGACTCAAAGTTACGGGCCCTGGTGTTGGTGAGTCGGAGCCACCCCAATATGATGGAAGGCTCAAAGACCCAAGCCAGAGCCAGTAACTTTGAGTCCAGAACCATTCTACAGTCCAAAAAAAGAGTCCTGATGATCGAGAAGAGTATCATTCGAACAATTTTCTTTGTGCGGTTGGAGTGCACGGCGGAGAGTCCCGTCGCGTGGGAGCTCTTCCGTTTGCTGAGGCAGTCTTGAGGATAGAATCTGTAAGATATGTTAGAAAAGAGATCATGCCGCAAGATGCTTTGTTCATGATGAAGGCGACTGTGGTATGGGACTGGGAACAAGCGATTGCATGGTAGACCGGCTGGAGGCAGGAATATTACCTAGCCTTCCATTGGACAGAACACATAACAAAATAGAGACGTGAAAGAGTGAACCTACTGGAACTGTAATTCCAAAATCTTGCAGCGCCAGTGGTAAAAGGAAACGGAAAACCACCGACTGTAAAGTCGTGTCTCGTGATTATTTCCAGACCATTCTTGGTGTGACCGTAAGAAGAAAATCCGTGCAGTCGAATATCGCAGTCGGGATTAGTACCCGTCGTTAATCTTGGCATAGTCTGCCTAATCGCTGGAGGCCGCAAGGCACTCGAGTTGTGCAAGGCAAGCTACCTTGCTTTTCTGCTTTCACAATGTTAGTAGTTTTCACAAGACAAGACACGAGAGGTAGCTCAGCTGACCTTTGGAACAGTTTTCTTTGAAAGAAAAATAATAGGCAGTGCCTATGCGTCAAGGGAAGCCTGCACTCGCAATGAAAGAGGCAATGAAGACGGCATCCATGTTGGATAATTCCAGTCGAGGCTGGTGAAAAAGGGTATGGAAATTGTAAATGAAAGCTGGGAGAGCGAAAAAAAGAATTGTGGCGTGTGGGAGTTTGGCCGGGAAAAGATGTATGGGTGGGAAAAATCCGATATTGACAGCAAAGAGAATGGAAAAATGTGAAAGGCCAGAAATATTGGCAACACGTGCCGAGGGTTTATTTTGGTTTTTGTGGCATGGAAGGAGGAAGGACCAGAGAGAAAGGTGAAGGAAGGTGCGATGGGAAACGGCGAGGCTGGTTCTTTCCAGAAAGGCGGCAGAGAAGAGATGGATCCATTGGAATAAATGGGAGAAGAGAATACACTCCCCAAGGAAACACTCCGTAGACCATAAACAACATGGAGCTACTAGTTAAGTGATTCAAAACAAGTTGAGCAGTAACCAAAGCTTCCAAATTGACACCCTTGTCCCTTTCCGTTCAGTCCAGTCTAGATGATAGTAAAATGCTGCATGGCAGTACTCCTCTCCAGCATGTTACCGAGCTTCCCATCTGACCAGCCAGACACCATACACCGCCCCTACGAGCTTGTATGCCGATCCTTGAACATGAAGAACCACAAAGGGAGTGAAGCCATCTGCAAAAATGGCAAGTTTGTCCCCTGTACGTGTAATATCTGGCGCCAAACACTGAAGTCCGCACTCCGTGTAGCAAACTAGCCTCTGCGCCCTATATCCGAATGCACAATGTCCGCCGCGATACGCGAATTTGGAGGCACTTTCTCGGATCAAACTTTCAGTCCACGCAGTACTCTCCCACACAGCAGCAACTATTGCTCCTACGACTGAAAGTTCGTGATGGGCTACTCTCAATTGGCTTTGGTGTAAGTACTCAATCTTTGTACCAAATAGCGTTGGTGTGACGCCGATAGGGCAGAAGTGCTCGCCAGCATCATTCCAACGGGGTACCCAGCTCGGGAGGTTGGAGCGTAAGGAGTCTTCAATATGACATACAATCCCAAGCGGCCGGAGGTCTTGATGTTGATGTAGAAGCTTCCAAGCCACCTCGAGGAACACTTCGTCGACGGGCTTTGTGTAATCTGCAACCACGATTGGATGGTGGTTCGTATCCTCGCGGTAGTTCAGCATGTAATCCTCACTTCCAAGGTCTCCGTAGGCATGCTGCTTCATGGAAGAGGGATGGCCAAGGAAACCGTAGACATGGTCACGAGGATCTGTTGCTTGGCAATGGAGGCCATTCTTCAACAGCAGGAGGAACGGCGTGTTCCTGATGTGACTCTTGAGATCTTCCCCTTGAAGCCAACCTGGATGTGTCGCTTGTCCATAATCTAAACAAAGGTTACGCGTGTTCTTGACAGCGGTAGCGTCTTTGATAAAGAGATCTTTGATACGGTCGCCAGCGTCATTGTTGTGATCCATCCATATATCAAAACCAAACACGTCCAAGAGACGAATCGGACCAGCCGTTCCCCGATAGAAGAAGGGCTTTCTAGAAAGACCGATTTCTTGCTGTGCCCAAAAACGTCGAAACCACGGGTTCGCATACAACTCGGCAACGGCGTTCCACGATTCGGTGTCAAAATTATCAATATCCGTGCGAGTGAGATTTGTCCTTGCCTTGTTCCAATAAATGGGGCCCATGTAAGCAACCTTGTTACTTCTCTCAACGTCATCTGTCTGGTTGATACAGGCAGCGTCTGCCCAAACTGTCTTTTGTTCCGTCGGGTGGCGGAGGGCAAGCAGGGCATGATACAAGCTCTTTCCGATGCTCAGGTTGCGAGGTTCGGCGCTGTGCTCTTCGTTTGGAAGAACTCTGGGTTCATGCTTCTCGGACGTATTTCCCCAACAGTATGAGAGGCACTCGTATTCTGGTTTGTCCTCAAGACGTACGGTGCGCAGGCGGGCCTTAAGAACATCGGTTTGGCTGGGACTCGGAAGAAGATCAAGGACTCGAATGAAGTGGTTATCAGGCTTTGTTTGAGGCAACGGCGTATATACGTATGGCGCCATGACTAGAAATCCTCAAGAGGTAGGAGTTCCTCCGGCAATTTCTCAATTTGAGAATAAAGGCTACCAGGAAAAGTACCGTGGTCAGAGAGCGAAGACCAACAGACGTCTCAAGGGGAAAACTAGAGGATTCTCCAGCTTTAAGGAGCTGCCCCTTCGACTTGGCATAGATGCGGAGCTGATGGCCCCATGTTATTCTTGCTGGTGATATAACATGGGTTGCAACACTGGGTGGTCAGAGGGAGACCACCAACACACCAATCAGTCAAGTCAGAGCATTCCAGATACTGCGAATGCACAGCCCCAACCGACGCAAATGTAAGGCGTAGATTCTAAAAGGCAACTATACCTCTACCTTGAGGTGCATGAACACTTCCAAGCGAGCGAATCGGGTTGTGAGGCTGTGACACCGAGCTCTCGAGTCTTGATACATGACGAAAGTTGGGCCTGGGGAGAAAATGAAAATGATGTGGTATTAGGACACAGCGGGGCCGATGCAGGTGCCGGAGTTCTCCACCACGGACGACATGCCGTGGCGCCGGCGGCATCATGTCCACCGGTTTATGGTCAAGGCGGAGGATGGTTGAGAGACTGAGTAGATATTTTTGAACGTACGCTCACTCATGGATGTGACGTAACATTGATCGCGACGCAGAGAGGCGTACGGCTTCGGTAACACCTCTCAGTTGGTCCACGAACATCGTCTTTACTCTACGATGTTAGGGCTCACCAAATCCTAGCTGATGCTGTTGACAGTACCATCATCGTCTCCCCCTACCACGTCGGCACCGGCCCAAACCGCATCCTCTCCCACAACCTAGCCGATAAACTAAAATCCCTCACCCCAATCCGCTTCATCAACATCGGCCCCGTAGACGACTTCGAAGGCGAAATCGGCCGCACCTTTGAACTCCTCCGCCGCACCTCCACCGCCGTCTCCCAAGCCGTCGCCGCAAACTCCTTCCCGCTCGTCCTCTCAGGAAACTGCTACGCCAGCACGGCCGTGGCAGCCGGTCTCAATGCTACCGTCCCAGACTTGAATGTCCAGTGGATAGACGCGCACGACGATCTGGATACACCCTCGACGAACGAGAATGGGTACCTTGATGCGATGGCGCTGTCTATGGCGGCCGGGATGAGCTGGCATAAGTTGATGGGCTCTGTGCCGGGCCATAAGTCGTTGAGCCTTGAGAGGGTGGCGTATTGTGGGTTGAGGGACGTGTCTGAGCTGCAGAGGAAGACGGTGACGGAGGCTGGGGTGGATGTCATCTGGGGCGACGCGGAGAGGAAAGTTGATTTTGCGAAGGAGTTGGGGGTGTTGTTGGATCGGAGGAGGTTTGACAGGACGCATGTTCATCTCGATTTGGATGTGCTGGATGAGTCGTTGGGGAGGGTGAACGAGTTTCCTTCTCCGGGGGGGTTGGATGGGGAAGATTTGATGGGGTGTTTGGAGACGATTCCGAGCAAGACGAGGCCGACGTCTTTGTTTGTGTGTTCTTTTAATGCGGAGTTGGAGGGGGGTGATACGGTTGCTAGGCTTGCGGTGAAGGGCATTGTGCGCTTTGTTGAGGGCTTATTCAGACTGATGTTCTGAAAGGGGCTCAATGATAGAGTCTTGGACTAGGCCTTGCGAGCTTTCCGTCTCGGAAGAGTGCCTCGCACCTGTTGCGGCGTTGCCTAAGATTCCAGCAGCAATGCTCAGCAGCGATGAAGTATGAGGACGGCCCTAAAGATACGAGTACGTGTATGGGTTGGCCAAGGTACATATAACGGTCTGGCTGATGAGAAGAATGGCAGGAGAGTTGAAGCTCGACCTGGCAGGCTTTTCGATACAATGCTACTAGCAAACCGTGTGTCTTAATGGAGGATGGTCTCAACGTGGATGTCAACTACTCTCGACGTCTTCTCTACAAGTCAATCTTGATGAGTTGCCGAAACCACCGAACTCAGACAAAGTCAAGTGGAGGGAAAGCATGTTCATCTGCCGAATCCCATCTCGGGTTTCAAGGAGACTTGAAGTCAACTCTGGCGAGACTTTCAAACCTACAAATGCACTCCTGGACGGGGAGAAATTCTCCTGACAGATCACAGCTCACAGAATTATCAAACTTGGCCCAGAACAGGAACCAGCTCATGGCCATACCAAATCCGAGTAAAGATGCACGAGCCTTGAGGGTTGACGAGCTTTTGAGTCGGCGACCTTTACGAGCCGACGGGGGGCATTTCGGTTCATGTGATATCACGACGAGCCGAGTTTGAAGCCTGTTACCCGCACTGCGAACATGAACGGACGAGATAATACCTAGTTGATCCGAACCCAGCCACGAGAGTAAGCACGCATGAGATATCACGCGGTGAAAGTGGCAGTTGAGGTCAAGTCTACTCTAGAATTGGGCATCATTCGCCGGACCCCGAAGAATGTCAAGGTCGGCGACCACACGGAGCAGCACCTCCATGCCTTAGATCATAGCAACTGTCATTTTGAAGGGTTCGGACCAAGCTGCCACCAAGGATGGTCGTGCGTATCTGAGAGCATGCAGGCAGCCCCGGATCCAAACCTCGTGGCGGTCTGACAGGCTGCAGTTATTAGCGCCGCGAAACGCTCAAAATAGACTGAGCCGTTGTGGGATATCTCAGTGAGAACTCACAGTCTCGCTGAATGGGTGAAAGCTCCCAATCGCACCAGACTCCCAGTCTTGACAGAGGGCCATGCCTCACGACACTGTCATGACGAGACGCGAGGACAGCCTGGACGAGCCAATATACGCGCAATACCGATTCTCACAAACAGTGCCCTCAGGGCAAGGCATCGGGCCGCACATCAGGCTTCTGAGCGTATCAGAAGATATCCTCGCGACAGTCCACGGCGACCGCGATGTGCTCATTTGGAACGTCAAGCGCAACTTGCCTCCTCAGCGCATCGAGATTGAAATTGTCCTCGACTTCATTACGGGCATTGCCATCTCGCCAGCAAGCAGCAACATCGTCGCGCTGTCATTCCGATTGGGGCCCAAATGCGAGGTATGGACATTCAACTGGGCAGACCAAGTCGCCGAGGCAATGTTCACGACGGGATTGGACCTCCACTCACCACAATTTTCGCCTGACGGTCGATTACTTGCCTGGATATCGGCCGGGAGCGTGGATGTTTGGGAAACGATCATCAACACGCACGTCCAGACAGTCAGCGAAAGTAAAAAAAGCCACCAGCGAGCGGCCGGTTTCCAGGTTCGCATTTTCGTCGGATTCGAGTCGAATCGCAACAGTAGATCAGTCGGGAAGGCTGGTCAGCTGGGATGTCGTAACATGGTCGTATATCGGCGAATCGAAGGTTCAGCCGGCGATGGACGACGACGGGAGGGAACCGGTGCAGCTTGTTACGGACAACAGGCGTGTTATGATGGTCTCTCGTGAGGTGGGCGAAGTTGCGCAAAGGTGGAGGCTGACAACATGGTGGCCGAGTAGCGATAACAGGTCGGAGCTCGAGATGGACGGATGTGTGTATGGATGCGTTCCTGGGAATTGCGCCTTCGTTGCGACGGTGCAGTCGGACGGGGGAAAGCTGCGAATCCGCGACACGAACAAAGGCATGTGCTTCGACCAGTCGACTCAGGGCATAGCGAAACGCGGCAAGACACCTTCGGTGGTGATGGGTGGCATGGTGATAAGTGGAAAGATTATGGTGACACAACTTGCCAACGGAAGGACGACGATATGGCAATTGGTGGCCACGGAATAGGGCTCGAAGCGCACGACGGCGCGAACGTGACTCGCGATAGGGCACGATGTCTTGGCTGCGGATGAAGGGTTTGCACTACCCAAGTATGCACCAAACCGAGAAGAATCCGATAACGGTGATGACTGGGCAGATATCGTGGACTCACGACTCGCTGGGGGTAAGGTAGCGTAGCGAAATCCAAGGTTAGATTATCTTGATATGGTCTAGTCGCCGGGAGAAAGTCGCGATAACCCAGTTGAGGTTGTTCATGTATCCGTACCTTAGCCCAGGGCGGATCCTCAAACTTGGGATATGAACCTCAACTCCGGGAATCCTGACATCTTCCTGAGTTGATCTCAGAGATGGAAGGGTGGCCGAGTTGGTTATGGCGCCAGGTTAAGGTCAGCTTAACATCTGTTTCCTGGTGGGGCAACCCGCGCGAGTTCGAGTCTCGTCCCTTTCAAATGCATCTTTTTGCATGTCGTGGAGATATCGATATCCATTTTCCAATGATTTTTGGTGCGAATTTGACGAATTCGGTGATTCCCGCCGATGGGTCTTTTTTGGGTACGTAGATCGAAGAATTGAGTTCCGTCTGCAGAAATTGTTAGTGTAACGGAACGGACCAGTAAACGGGTCAGAAACGGCTCAGAGTGGGGCCTTCGGATACGAGGGACCTGTGAGAACTCTGCACCGGTGGGGCCGTCACCGACAATGTGCCGTGGACCAACCAGGGACGGTATATCGTCGTGCACAGGCCACTTCTTCGCCCGATTCATTCCCGATTGTGGGCCCGGGCCTGGAACTGATGTTTGCCCCATTCCGGACGTCCTCCGACCGGTCTTCCCAGCTGCTGTCTCCACGCAGATGTTACGCTCGCTGAAACTGTTGGAAAGCGCCATCATTTCATGAAGATTACGCTGCTGCAGCCTTAGCTTCGGGGGCAACGGGGGACCCAAGCGACCCAAAATACAGGGGCGATGGATGCTGCAGGCATAAGCGCCCTAAGGTAATTCGTACGCAGCGCCGCCTAGCGCCTGCTCAGCAGATTGTAGTCCACTGTTCAGAGCTGCAATGTACCGAGGTGAAACGCGGCATTTTGCACTGAATATTGGGGCTGAAGACTCAAAGTCAAAGAGACAGGTCGGAATGGCATAGCAGTTGTTGGTTGTTTGTGGTCCTGTTCTTGGCCGACCGTTGCCGACCGTTGCAAACAGGAAACACGCAACTTTGTGGATTCGAGCCTCTTGGATAACAAGGCTTCCCTCTCGTGCGGACTTGCTCTGCTCCGCAATGCCATGCATCGTATCCTCTTACTGCACGTCCGAGTCTCCAATTCTCTCTCGTAATCATCTACCAGACCGCATCGCATACTGGATGCTGTAGTCAACAGTTGGCCTTGCGACGCATCTGTGCGTATGTTGTCTCGTAAGACCACAGCTGTGCCGCTTGCTGCTTGCCTGCCTGCTCATCGTGATCGGCGCAGAAATTGGATGTCGGATGCTTTTCGCAGACACCGACCACGTGAGCGGTCAATGTAGGTTCGTCTCCGATCAATGTGCTCGACGGATGCGCCATGCCGTCCAGATAAGAGCACGGGTTGCGACTGTCGTCCTCAAAGTGATGCCGTATCTCTGGGTTGTTTCCGAACGTCTGGCCCGGGGCCGTAGACTTGTTTCGTAAAGCTAACAGCGTCTTATCTTGGGCGGTAGGCGATTGCTGATTTCGAATGGCGGCTAGGCAACCAGGAGCGACAGGGGGTTCAAGGGGATTACTCGGCGTCCACATTTCCATCCTTGAGCCTCGAGATAAGCAACCTCAGCAGTCTGGGGTTCGGTCGGTCGGTCCCCCACGCAGTAATAGAGGAGGCCCCTTTCCGCCCTCACACCGAGTGGGCTTATTGATGGCCACGGTCAGCAAATTCCCCGTAATGTATCCGTTCGGATAATCGTAGACTGCGCGGAAGAGCAGGATGACTTTCCCCGAGTCCCTGGTCTGAATGGTACGGAGTATGCTATGCCGTATGCTTTACCGAGACGGGTGTTTTGCGGCAACAGTCCTATCTTCCGAGGGAGCGCTGGCGCGGTCTGCGGCAAGTTGACATCTACGGAATAGGTCAGGAGACACTTGTGGCGTTATCAAATCGGTTTCCCGGCGTGGAGGTCCCGCGTTTGTAAATGTCAGGAGAGCCAATGGTCTCGTCCAGGCTATGCCGGATGATTTTGCTGGATTTGGGAAGACGTCGCGTGATCTGCGTAGGATCGATACTCCCGAGGGCTAGAAGTCGGTTGTTGGCGATATATCCAGGGCTAAACGTCGTCGTCACTCCTGTCCGGGCGGCCTGCTTGTCGGCCGCCTATTGTTCTTGCAAGTATCTCGCTAACAGAGTCGGTAGAGCCGGAACCGATGCTTCTTTCCCTATCAGCAATCCATGGTGTATCGATGCCCTTGTGTAGTCCAGCACGATGTGTCAAGGATCTGTTCCGATACGGTATGTTGGTTGCTTCGTCTACAGAGTTGTGAGAGCCTTCCCTGGCTGTCAGCGTTTCCCATCTCTCTAGATTCAGGGTGCAATTGTTCGCACGGGTGGTGTAGCCGGTACAGAGGAGAGCCTACACAATAGATATGTATCAAGGGGGACATGTTCCTGGTCGACGGCAAGGGTTCAAGGATTGATGCAGCTGTAGCTCGCAATTCGCATTCGAGCTGACATGGACATATGCAGAAGAGCAAGGGGCAAAGATCTTCATGAATGGAGGATGAGAAAAATGGTGATTGCCCAGCCAAAGATGGAGGCGCCAGACACATGAGGTTGACGCAAGGCTGGAGAGGATCCAAGGCGTCGGTGGAGGAAGGCACTGGTGGGTCTGGTGACTGTCAGCCTCGAGGAAGTCACGATGCGGGCACGACGACGGAACCTGCGCACCTTCCGTTTCTCTTGGATATTGAAGATGGAAGGAACGGAAAGTGCAATGTCCACCTCACCTTCTCGAGATGCACCTTCCATTCCAACTCCATCTGCACGCAAGCACGTGATTTCGATCCGACGACATCTTGCCGCATTTCTCAGGCCCGCGGTGGATGTTTCTTGAGGTATCCGTACGGAGGTTGCCTCACTCCACTCTCAATTTCATGTTGAAAGACGCCGACGAACATCTTTCTCTTGGTCTTCAACTCCACGTCGCATTCCGCCCTCAACAACAGCTGTCGCAGTCTTGGCGCCTCTAAACAACCTTCCTTACTCGAGGAGCGACAGCGGGGTTCCCTATTAGACACCCTCCCGTCCTGGACTACTCCCGAGTCCCCCATGTACCTTGCCTTGCCCTCTCGCATGGCCATCTGCTGCACTGCACTGCAACGGAGAATCTAAACGCAGATCTTTTTCCAGGGCAGAGAACGGTTCTTGTATGCTGTTGGTCACCGCCATGTGATGTCCTCGCTAATTTGTTTCCAGCTGCGGCTCAGCGGCACCTAAATGTTTTGACGTACGGGAGCGAAGGATGAGGAACCGTTCTCAAGACCCTGCGCGCGTGTTTGCGGGCGTTCGACCAGCCTTACCAAAGCCACTGACCAGGTACACCTATCTGTACGCTGGTATCCTTACTCTGCATACGAGGTCTCAAATTCAACGTCGCTTCGTCAAAATGACCCTTGGTGGTGGTTGTGTCGGGCTCTCCGGAAAGGCACTCGAAGCTTTTACTCCGTCCGAATCACACACTCTCTTTTGGGACTCCGCCAAGCAATCTGTCGGTCTGCACTCGGTGTGTTAAAATCTCGCTCTCGCCATCCCCACTTCATCAGCGACCGTCATCACGGCGCCACTCCCGCTTCCATCAAATACCAGGCGTTGCGCATTTTCCCACACTCGCCGGACCTCATTGGAATGCCATTGAGCTGATCATAATGCAAGGCTATCGATTTGTTCCATCATACCATTTCAGCCTTTCCCCGGATTCGATACGTATATACGTATCGTGAGGGTGGTGCCCCTCCTGTTCAGCCTGGCAGTGGACAGGGTCTCCAGGGTCTAAGGGTACCAATTGCGCCATCAATGAGTCTTCAGGCTTCAGCGCAAGTGGACGACCCAGCATGGCGGGACAAACGTCGACGTCCTTGTCGCGTGTGCTGCGATCGGGTGTCATCCCCCCGGACTGGCCTGCCTTCCCTCCACCAAATAGCCGGGTTTGGCGCTGAGCCGGCTCAACAGTTGCATCTTGGAGGAGCTGAGGGAGAACTTTTAGGCTTGACGACTCGTCTGTCTTTCCCATCAAGGAAACGACCGCTTTCCTCGCATCCCGACGACGAATATGAATGGCAGGCAGACAGCCACCGACGAGTGTCACCGACAAGTATCTCACCCGCGTTAAGCCGGCGCAGAGATACTCTTACGTACGACTGGGCTTGGCTCTAACTTGGTGCGGCAGGTGGGCGGATCATCACTGGAGTCCCCTCTGTGACATCAGCACCTATTCAGGGCCTCTTCAGAGCCACTTCAGAACCACTTCCCACGGGAGCTTGCAGGCCTCACGATCCTAGCGGGCTTGGTTGTATCAGGGAATTGTTCAAGGTGTACCCCCCGACCCTGTGTTGGCACGCAGAAACAGCCTTGGGATTCCCTGTGCAGGGCGGGGGGGGAGCCCCTGTCTCTCCCCCATCTGCTCCAGTCTCCTCCATTTTCCTCCATTTCTCTCCATTCTCTCTCCATCCAAGCGCGTCCACTTGGCTCAATTTTCAAACGCTCACTCGCTCGCTTTGCGACCGCCAACCGTGTCGTCCTCCACCGCCGTCGGGATCAAGACGGCAAGACGGAAGATTGAGAGACTCCACGACTCGCACAGGGCGAACCAACGGTCTGCATTTGCGTGGAGAGCATGCGCCGCTAGTCGGGCAACTTGGACCACATCACTACGTCATTACGCATTATGTGCATTGAGCAGGTCGAGGATGAGGACTGATGGAGAAATGGATCATTTCTTTGCTGTCTCAGAGGTTGACGATTTTTTTTCGCTGCCGCCTCTAGG